TTATTCTACACTCTACAAAAAATCTACCACGTCTACACAGCTTTGTTTTTCTCGCTAAGTCTCTCACGTTACCAAAAAAATGCTCGAATCTGGCTGAACTGAAAATGCGTGGTTGAAGTTTGCGAAAAATTGGAATTTTCCTCTCTTTATTCTCTTTCTCTTTTTTTTCTTCATTTATTGATCTTCTAGATTATCGTGTGATGAATATAAATTGATGATAATTGTTCACTCACTCTATTTTTGTTTGCTTTCTTTTAATCACGCAATATTGGCAATGTAAAATAGTGAAAACAGTTCGCGAGATAATTGGCCAAGAGTATATGTTTATGCAAGCTGGAGAAATGCCGTGTCATTGCCACTGCCACTGCCACAGTTTTATACATAAGAGGGATGAGAGAGAGAGAGAGGGGTTGCTGTCGTCTTCTGCCATCTAGGTAACATGACCTGAAACCACCCATCCTGACCTTTCCCCTTCGCGACCCACACGCGCTCGCGCATTACTTTAATCGTCGACCTCCCTGATTTGAAAAAAAAGGATAAAAAAAGTCCCTCCCCTCCGTTTCCTCCTTTGGCTTTAACAACCCCTTCGCCCTCAATAACCATTCTGAAATCCCACGTTGTCAGATGCCTCGTGTTCGTTCATCTTCGTCCTCGTGTCCCTATTTCCAACCCTTTATATATACTGACCCTTTCATTACGCACCTTCTTATCGCTCCTCCATTGGAATCGATACAACATTTATCTCAACTTGCTTGGAGAGAATAAAAAAAGAACTCAAGTTTGCACTTGCGCATTTCGTTTTTACGGTCAGATGACCAAGTGAATTTAAATGTTGTTAATAATTCTGTGAATTTGAATCGAACTTCTATTCCTTCTGTTTCCTTTTTTACTTTTGGTTAATTTAATAGTTTTTTGGGTTTTTGGTGTCATTCTCGTGTATTGGGTCAAGTTGTGTTTCTAGCTCGGTCACTAGGGTCTCCTAATATTTCTCCCCTATTTTTTGTTTGTTTGCTTACTTCCTGAGATGCATGACACATGACATGATTAATGAATTAGTCTTTTCTTAACATCATAATATTTGGTCTTTATTGAAACATTTAGCAAATGTTAGTTTTGACACTGTAAAAGAAGAAGTATCAATTTAGAACCGATTTTTGGTTCATGCCCCCTAATACTCTGGTATTAAAGTGAATGAACCAAAAATCAGCACTTTCTTTTTACAATGTGAAACATTCGGTTCAATTTCGACTGATTTTTTCAGAAGGGAGAAAAAACGGTTTTGATTTCTGATATATATAGAAGCTTAGGAATAAATGAACAACTTTTGATGAGTTCTTTAGATCATTTGTTGCAGTAAGCAAACAAGATAGCTAGGTGCAGAATGCTCCAGGTTTGCAAAATCTGCAAGATCTTTATGAAGATGCATTAGTAGGAAAAGATTATTAATCAAAATTGATAATAGTCGCATTTTTAAACCGTTCCAGATATGATGCTGTAGAGTAAAACATGAAGTTGCTCCTAAATAAAAGACAACTATAAATTTTATTGTTAAGAAGCAACTTTAATACAAAAGGGATTTGTGGTTACTGTACAAAAACTGCCAATAGTTACCAAAAAAATACCATAAAATTCAATGTCACAAAAGAATTAAATTTCCAAAAATAAGCTTCAAAATTAACGGATGTCATTTCTCGCAAATTTTTGAATTTTTAATTCAAACCTTTGGTTACTCTTTTATCTATATTTGAAGTTTTTGCTCTTTCTTCTCGTTGTGATTTTTGTATATAATACTTTTCGGTATTTTTCATCTGCATCTTTGGTCTTTAGAATGAAAGATCTTTAGGGTCCTGAACAATTTTTTGAACATGTTGATCTATTGTAAACATCTTTCATTTGCTTCACCTTCAGGCAAATTATTTCCCCTTCTTCAAATTTCATTAAAGTAAAGTGAATTGTAACTATAAAGAGAATTCAGTCTACTTGAAGGAAGACTAATTTAATTATCATAAATGAAGTAAGGAAATAAGTTTCCTCTGCATTTGCATTTTCAACTTGTACCGAAAAGAAAAATTATTACCGTTCAAATTAAATGCTTGTACACCGTAAAAAATTAAAACCTATCGATTAAATATTGGACGCAGAAGGTGCGATTAAATATTTGTACCATAAACATTTGAATCCGTGCGATTAAATATTTGTACCGTAAAAAGTTAAATCCGTTCGATTAAACACTTGTTCCATAAAAAATTAAAACCGTTCGATTAAATACTTGTACTAAAAAAATTATAACCGTTCGATTAAAATCATAAAAGCTTGATGTACTCAATGAGATAAAATATCCTGAATTCGTTTATCAAACGAAATATTTAATCCTAATGGCATTTATCTGCTGAGTATTTGTTAGCAAATAACCACAAGAAACAGTATCAGAAAATAAATCATAGGAATAAAAACATACAATTAACAGTAGAAGCATCGGTTAAATCATCGTAAAAACGTCATAAGTAAAAACTTCATTATTAAAAACTTCATCAGTAAATGCTTCATTAGTAAAAGCATCATAAGCAAGAGCATCATCAGTAAAAGCATCATTAGTAAGAACATCATCAGTAAAATCATCTTCACTAAGAACATCATCAATAAAAGCATCATCACTAAGACCATCATCAGTAAAATCATCATCAGTAAGAACATCATCAGCAAATAGCATCATCAGTAAAGACAAAAGTTAAAATTCCCATAGTGTCCCTATCTCTCCAGAAAGCAGAAAACTAAAATTCAGCAATACTGAGAAAATTATTTCACAAAACTGCGAATAATTCTTATTTTCATAACCAATGAGAAGGGGATTAAAGGGCGGAAAAAAAGGAAAATATTTCCATGAAAGCATCGTCTGATGAAGACATCAGCCATTGCCTCTCCCTCGGTGATTCATTATGAAGTTAGCGGCTAACCCCCGAGGAAACATTTTCCGTTAAGAAAAAGCCCAACCACAAATGAGAGAAGCAAACCAACGAGGGTTTTGTGAACTCATGCACAAGGGATTATCATTTCTTCTTCATCTAACGAGGTTACAACCATCCTCTAACCCATTCATTATTCAACATAGAACTGGGGACATTTTCAGGATATAGTATCAACGCCTCTTCCCCACCCCACCCTCTCTGGAAAATTGTACCACTATTCCATCAATTTACTGATTTTCCTCCCTCAAACAAAAAAAAAAATATTCCACATACAGAAAAAGATTCTATAACTGAAACATAATAAAAAAATGGTCACGCAAACGGAAAATGTAATAGCGAATCAAGAAGAGGGGTTTTTGTTCCTCACAATCACCCGACAGGGTAGCCGCGCCTCTATCGACCGGAAACCGTTTCAACGAGAATATTCACGCTGTCCGCGAATTCACGGTATTCCGTGAATCTTTATCTGTTTATCTGATCCATATATATGACTATTTTCAGATATAGTGATTCTAAACATCAAGTACAAAATTCTTTGATCTGATAATAAAAAATTCTACTTTTGAAAAACTCTAATTTTTTTTTTGACAATTTAGACTCAATGAAAGATATGAGATTTGACGCAATCCCTGTCTCTCTCTATAGCTATCTTTCTCGCCATAATCAGTGGGAGGAGGGGAGGGAAGCCATCTCCCTGCTAAACAACACCGATCCGTTTACCCATTTTCCTTGATCCCTAATCAAACCCACCCCAACCCAGAGACTCTGATCCCGGGGCTCATTTAACATGCAACTATAACACTGTATAGGGAAAACCCGGTCCTCGCCCTATGGATCCGGGTTTTTTTTCCCTTTTTTACCATCAGAAAAACCGCGCGCGGTAGTCGTCGAAATGCGCCGCACATCGCGACGCGGCAATCTCGCGAAACATCACCATTAATTGGTTTACACTCCACACAATTCTTTTGGGTATTAAATATATTCTTGTCCTTCTGTTATATCAATGGTGGAGATGCGTCCTGTTGTTGTGACCAGCATCGAGGACAATGTCCCATCACACCAGTAACTTTAAAAAGGCGTACTGCTGTGACAGGACAATATTCCCGACGCCGGTCTTTTATGATGACGACCAAGGGAGAAGTAGATGACTTTTCCTGCTGATGATGATGAAGAAGAAGAAGAAAAAGTTTGAAAAAAAAAACCCGCACCGAATGAAGGGACAATTATTTGTGTGAACGGGATAAAATAGCGAACAGAGAGAAGTAACCCGGTCGATCGTCCCGACGGCACTGCGTCGCTCGCAAACGGCGGCGCCTCCTCCGCACCGTCTCTTGCGCTCCAGCTCCCCTCGTCTACCCCGTCGCTATCGTCGTCGTCGACCTCCTCTCGGTGGCAGTGGCAGCTATGGTCGTCGGCTCCACTGGATACAGTGGGGTGGAGAGAGAGGGATGCCTGACGATGAGAAGGGGCGGCCACCAACCCCTCAAAAACCCACCCGCCGAGCAGAAGAACGGTCACGGAGGGGCGTATTGATCCACCAGCTGCGTGCTCTCTCAGCCACCCTCGCTTCACTCCAAACCCCTGTTCCCTCGTTCCGCTCCATTCTGTTTCGGTTCCGTTTCGTGCCGTTCACAACTCCACTGTGTGTGTGCTGCTGCTGCTGCTGCCACCCCTTCTTCCCCGCCCTTCGATCAAAGCCTCGCGTGCCCTCGCTCTTTACATCGAGTCGGCTCCAGTGTATGCTCTCTCACTCTTTCTCGTTCCCTCTTGCTCTTACGAGCAAGAGCGAAAGAGAAAGAGAGACAAGGGTAGAAAGACAGAGAGACTCCGGGGTAAAATTGGGTGGCAGGGCTAGCTTTCACCACAGTGCTCTGCTCCTGCGAGAGGAAAAGAGAGGCTCCCGTGTGAACGAAACAGAGAAACGCATTTCATCCACCCCTCTATATCTCTATATGGTATTATTACTGTACAGGCCAATGTTACGGGTGTTGTACTTATCCTCTCCTCTATGTCAATACTATACTACTTTCTTACCTTGAGACATCTAGGTTTCCGTAGATCGAACCATCCAGGGGACGAAGTCATCTCATAACGTGGCAAATTCCGTCCGCTCAACCTAAAAAGGATTATCACTGCATTATTCCGAATATATTTATTGTCAACTGTGGTTTCTTGAAATTTTTTATGTTTGTCCAGTTATCTCTTATCAGTGAGATATTATCTCACGCAACATTAAAAGTTTCCTGAAAGTTGAAATTAAAACAACTAAAGATTCGGAAGACTGCAACCTTCCGAATCTTTAGTTGCCAAGCTGATGAAAATTCATCAACAAAATTCATCAACACTTGCTTACAATTCTTGGATCCTTTAGACCCAGGCGTACTTTTCCTTCGTTTCTTAGAATAGTTACATTTTCTGCAGAAGCTAAAAAAGTAATTTTTTCATGCAGTAGACTACTGCATGAAATTTTAATATTTTAGAACACAGTAAACTGTATTATTAACAGCTTAAATTTACACCAAAGAAGTCTAATCTTATAATCCATTTTTAGATCAAGATTCACGGTAGAGAATCGCCGCCAAGTAAAAACCGCAAATATATTTTCTCAAACTGCTATCGACAGTTTATAGATAAAATCGAATAACTCGAGTAAATTTTAACAGATTTTGCTAAATTTTTTTTTGTTGGATAAAGAATGATAAAAGAAAGAATTCTGTTAAGTTTATTCAATATTTTTGATACTTTTATAGAATTTAAGCAAAGAAAACTGAAAAAATAGCGACTTTTTGACATTTAGACAAACGTAGAGCTTAAGGGGCTATACCAGTGTGACAATTTCATGAAATTGATTTCTTTTTTTGCCTTATTCGATAGTTTATACTTTCAAAAATATTCTGCAATTATTATGGTAATATAATAATATAATTTTATCTGGCAAAAATCGATAATTGAAACTTTAAACGCGTTTTTCTCGAAACGACATTTTTCAAAATTGTTGACATCATAACTCAACGAGAAATTGACCGATCGACTTCAAATTGAAACTGAGTATTTCTTGAATATATTTACTATTCAATGACCTACGATCTTTTTGATTGGTTGAAAATTGTCAATTTGTCAATAAAAAAAAGACCATTTTTTTACCCCAAAAAAAAACGACACCTTTTTCAGAACTACGCCATTTTGTTAATTTTTGATATTTTTCAAAAATCGTAGGTCATTGTATAGGAAATACATTCAATTTTAATAACCTTTTTTATTCGTACCATTAATCAGTACAGCATTAGTGGTAAAGAATCAGTTTTGTATCACTGCAAAAGAATCAGTACAGTATCAGCTTTGAAGAATCAGTTTTGTATCACTACAAAAGAATCAGTACAGCATTATAGCTTTAAACAATCAGTACCATATCATCACTACAACGATCTCCGTCAAGTACAGGGAAAACAAAATTCCATGAAAAACAGGGGATCCAAATTGAAACTACTTAATATACACTCCAGTAATGATAATTCAATCAACGCTGTTTGATATTCAGCGTGGGTGTAATACAAAGTCAGTGAAACTTTTTATTAGAGAGCCATGCAGCTACCCAGAGAGCTCCTCTCAAATTGCTTAATTGAATACCGCTAAGGACTAAATTTATATATAACAAAGAAGTTCTAATCTTATTATTTTCTTAAATACACTTCTGTAACAAATCTGCACCGATAAAAATCACTGTTAGGGCAGACATAATTCTTTCAACTTTACAGCTTTTAAATGCAGTTTGAATTGTACACTGAAAAAAATTCCTGTAGTAAGTTTAACTACTTTTCAACTACTCTCAATTAATCAATATCTCAACTGAATTTAAAAAATTGCATTGACTACCAAAAAAGTAGTTAAAACAACTAATATTCTTAACTACTTTTTTGGTAGTTGTAACTTATTTTATTATTTGAACTTATTTTTGAAATTTAACTACGTAGTTTGTCATCGTAGTCAGTTGTAGACTACAATTTTTTAACTACACGCTAGTGAAAATTTTGCTGATCATTTTAGTAAAATCTCACTAATTTAAAATAATATATTATATATTATCACTAAAAATCAAAATATATTAATAAAACAGTTTAACAGGTTCATTTAGTAAAATATGTTCCTGACAATCAGAATAAATTCTTTATTGTGTGAAATATTGATTCAAACATTAAGAAAACAGCGATAAAAAATTGTCGATTGTCTTTAAATGCTTAATGCTTGTTTCAATATTAAATCAGCAATTAATCATCGTTCATTAGACATATGACCAATTTCTTAAATGAGTTTTCGATTGGATAATATATATTATAATATAATTTCCATACAAGTGCATTAAGATGTTAAATATTATAGTCTGCCGCGGTATATGTTCAATATCTAAAGACAAATGTGTTTTATCCACAAAACTATAAATTATTTTCTTTTATGTACTCTTCCTTTTAATATTCTAGTCCCTTACTTGTAGTTTAGTTGAAAAAGAATTACCATTTTGACCCCCTTTTTATAGTATATTTTTTAACAAATATACATTCAGCAAATATATTATTCTTTATTCGAATCTATAATCAGAAACGTATGTTTCTTATTTAATAGAAATATTCTTGTATATGTATAAAAGAAAAATGAGACTATATATAGTCTCCGGGTAGATATATAAGTTTTTATCAATGCGGTATATTTGGATTAAAAATAGAATTCTATTATTCTAGAAACTCTATTTTTATATATGTACAGAGGTAGCCATTAGGGTGTGTCACTGCTACTTTTAATCATCGGAACATATTAATTAGGACATCTGATACTTGACGACTAGAAATTTTATATGACGAGTTAATTTTGTGTGTTTTGTATCATTTTATGTTATTATCTTGGCATTTATTTAATCATTTAGTTTAAGTACTATTGAACAAAAGGGTACTGCCAGTATAAACAAATAAATACAAAAATACAAAAATATTTGAAGTTTATATTTGAAATGTAGTATAAAAATTTGAGCTGCGGAAAACAAATATATTGTTAATGAAAAATCATTGAAAATAACAAGTCTAATTTTATTAAGTTTATGAATATTTAAGTACAATTATCTTTTTATTATTTTTTTATTATCTTTTTATTATCGCGCTTTTTTATATAATTTCCAAAATTTATACAATTGTAATTTATCATAATTGTCAAATTGTAAATTATTTAATAAAAAGGAAACAGAAAATTTGTATTATTGATAAAATAGCGTTTTCTGTTCTTTTCAAAAATGCGAGGCTTATTCATCATCATTTTTTAAAGTAAAAAAAATTTGCAAAAAATTTTTTAAAATTTTTACTGACCTTACGTCAATGGTTGAGCAGAACAATGCGTTGTAAGAGAAAAGAGTAACTGCGCACAAATCGTACATAATCAGAAAAGCCAGTGGAATTGACTGTAAAAAAAATAAATTTAATTAAAAGATTTTATTAAAAGAAACTCTCTGAATTTTAATTGGTAAAAATGTTTACTAATTCGAATTAGTAACTGACTTTTTACTAATAAACAGTAACTTCTAATTTATTAGTAACTTCTACAAATTTATTAGTAAATTCTACTAATTCTTTAGTAACTTATACTAAATTATTAGTTTCTTATACTAATTTATTAGTTTCTTATACTAATTTATTAATAAACTAGCAAATTTTTTTTGCAAAAATTCAATTATTTTTAACAAATTTTGAATAAAATTTCACGAAAGAATTCAATTATTTTCAAACATTTTAATAAATCCTTCGAAACAATTCATTTATTTTTATAAATAGTAAAATTCTTCGCAAGAATTCAATTATTTTTATAAATAGTAAAATTCTTTGCAGGAATTCAATTCTTTTCAAATCAATTTTAATTGAATTCCTCAGAAGAATTAAAATATTTTCAAATATTTACATAAAATCCAATAATTTCCTAAAATTTTAGTACACGAAAGAAATTAATTGTTTTCAAAAATTTCCATAAAATTTAATTTCAACAAGAATTTAAAATTTTCTAAAAATAATTCAATTATTCTCAAAATATAAAAAAAAAAAATTCTACATAAAAATTAAACTACTTTCAATGCAAGAATGAATTCTTTCAATGAAACAATTCAATTATTTTCAAAAAACAATAAAATTTTTCTGATGAATTCAATTATTTTAAATATACTTATTTTTAATAAAACTCTTTACAGAAATTCAATTATTTTCAAAACAACTTGAATTTAATTTCTCGAAAGAACTTAATTATTTTCAAATATTTCTATAAAATTGCTCAAAACAATTCAATTATTTCCTAAAGTTTTTATAAATTCTTCGAAACATTTCAATTATTTTTAAAAATAGTAAAATTCTTATCAATTATTCAGTTATTTTTATAAATATTAAAATTTTTTGCGGAAATTCAATTCTTTTTAAAACAATTTTAATAGAATTCCTCGAAAGAATTTAATTATTTTAAAACAATTAAATTTTAAAATTAAAATAATTATTTTTATAAATAATAAAATTCTTCTCAGGAATTCAATTATTTTCAATGCATTTTTAATAAAATTCTTCTTCATAAAATTCAATTGCTTTTAAAATTTTCAATTAAAATGATTAAAGAAACTCCATTATTTTAAAAAAAATGCAAAGAAATTCTTCAACAGAATTTAATTACGATTTTTTAAAATTTTAATAAAATTCTTTCTCGAGAATTCAATTATTTTCATAAATAAAAAAATTCTTTGAACGAAATCAATTATTTTCTTCAAAATTTTTCATAAGATTCTTTGCAAGAATTCAATGATTTTCAATATCTACATTAATTTTAAAATTGAAAATATTAAAAAGAAAAATTTTTAATAAAGTGAGGAAACAAAAAAACCAACTAACTTCAAAGTGCAAACAGATTACCAGAATACAAAGAATTATTAATATAGATTTTACTAATTCAAATTTGGAGAGAAAGCGTGTCGTGCTTTAAAGGACAAAAATTATAGTTTTTAGGATTTTTTTAGAAGGTTTTATGAAAGATTTTAGAAGTTTCGAAAAGTCAAAAATTTAAGGTTTTTAGGGACAAAAATATCACTAAATCTAAATCTTCAAAAAAATTGTTTTCAGTTGCATGAAGAAAATGTTTTCAACGCTCAGCGTCGTCGCTAAGTTCAGGGACCATCTAAGGTCCCTTTTTTTGGGCTGCGCCAAAACTTATATTTTATTCGCGAAATCGAAAAGAATTAAAATAGTTTTTTGAGAAGGTTTAAGTTAGAAAAGTGTCCTAAAGAGCTTTTAACTTTCTAAGTGAATGAAATAATAGAAATTAGCAATATTTTCACCTTTAAAAATCCCAAATAACAGTTACGTCTGAATGGTTTTTAATAAATTGACCTTCAATTTTATAACCTGAAACAACACCTGAAACTTGCAGCTATGTTGATATTTCTTCAACGTTTTGATTGTTGAAGAAATGTAAACATTGCTGCAACAAAGAAAGATCCCGAGTTCAAAATAATTCCTTCTTTGATAAGCATAAAAAATAAGTCCTAATTTTTCTTTTGTAAAAATTTCGGTACACCATTGGAGGATTCATTATTTAACGAAATTAGAAATTGATAAACTGATATTAGCTGCAATACCTAGCGAAATAATGATGGAGAAGTCTGCTGTCCAAAGTAAAAACCTAGTAGGCCCATTTGCCGTAAGGCAAATGCGACTACTAGGTTTTTACTTTGGGCATCAGAAGTCATTAGAGCAAAAAATTCCTATTGTCTAATATAATGTTTTTTTTCTTGCAGTGCCGGCATGGAGGCAGCCGCAGCTGCAGCGGCTGCTGCTGCAGCAGCCAATGGTACGGCAATAGAGCACGAGTTCCACAACAATTTGGTGCCAATAAATGGTAGTCATTCGAGTAGCTCAGGACGGAGCACACCAAATGGTACAGATCCGGCCCCTGGGAAATTATTCGTTGGTGGTCTATCCTGGCAAACGAGCAGCGAGAAACTACGGGAGTATTTTGGCATGTTCGGAACAGTAACCGACGTGCTCATCATGAAGGACCCAGTAACACAGGTTGGTTCGCGGTTGGTAATACTGCGATCCCTCCTCCTCTTCCTCTGTCTTATTTCTTTCTGACAAATTCCATTAGTGTTCGAAATTTACATGTAATACGACTTTTTTTTTGGTGTATCTCACGCTGTAATTATATACAAAATTTCGTAGTTTAATATGTAGCAATTCGATTAAGGGATGAATGACGTATAGAAGTATTTGGCAGATGCAAGCTGTTGTAGGGAAGGGTATCTGTAATGTTCGTAGAAGCACTGTTACGTCTACTGCGTAAGATTTTTTCTTCTTAACAGTTCCTACCACTTGTATATCCGTAGAAGTTGTTATTCCATTGTATAAGTTTCTATATGAATACTTTTTCAATCACGTCTCGTGCTTACGATCCACTCCACTTGTTTTTTTTAACCCTCTGAGGACGAGGATCAATATCAAAAAAAAAAAAATATCTGTTTGTATATAGATCGACCGACCTCAATGGGATTGGTCCAAATTACAAGTGAAATGGACGGAGCCACATCCTTTTTTGGGTCTTTCGTATTACATCGCGTTTTATATTGAAATTTGAAACAAAATTTTTAATTTCATTTGATAAATTATTTCAGTATCACGCGCTTTGAAAAAGACGTCAGAGACAAGAAATCGTGCCAAAGTAAAAATTAAAAAAAAAAGTATGTTTGGCGGACTTGTTCGTCGACACGAGGAATGGGAGGAGGGTGAACAATGATTAAAATAAGTGAGGCGAATGCCCGCTTAGGTCCGGTCGCGAGTGGTCCAATTGTATTATAATCGATCGATGCCTCCTCTTTCGCGTTACAGAGAAGTCGCGGTTTCGGCTTTATAACCTTCGCGGAGCCGGGAAGTGTCGACAAGGTCCTCAAGTGCCCAATCCACACACTAGATGGGAAGAAGATTGATCCAAAACACGCAACGCCGAAGAATCGTGCAAAACAGGCGAATCGCACCAAAAAGATATTTGTCGGTGGTGTGAGTCAGGACACAAGCAGTGACGAAGTCAAGGCGTACTTCAATCAGTTCGGCAAGGTCGAGGAGACTGTCATGCTCATGGATCAGCAAACCAAGAGGCACCGAGGTTTTGGCTTTGTCACATTCGAAAATGAGGATGTCGTCGACAGGGTATGTGAAATACACTTCCACACAATCAAGAATAAAAAAGTCGAGTGCAAAAAGGCTCAACCTAAGGAGGCAGTACAACCGGGAGCATTGGCTCTTGGGAAGAGGGTCGTTCTTGGCGCGCTTGGAGTTCGTCTTGCGCCACAGCCAACATTACCAGTTGGCGCAGCGACCGCTTCGCAAATCGTCGCTCACGCTCAAGCACAGGCTCAGGTACAGGCGGCGGCCGCAGCTGCTGCAGCGGCTCAAGTACAAAATGCAGTTGCCGGCTATGGTAAATTATTCGCTGGCGCATATCCAGCAGCGGCGGCCCTCTCGGCCTATAGATACGCGCCCTATCCAATTCCAGCGTCTGCGGCAGCTGCCGCCGCTGCTGTTGCGGCAGCAGCTGCAGCAGCGCCCGGTCAAGCACCGCCACTACCACCAAATGGTGTGCCCCCAGGTGCGGCGGCTCAAAATTCTCAAGCTGCAGCCGCGGCCGCCGCTGCAGCGGCAGCAGGCCCACCACCCAATCCCTATCAAGGATACTCGCTCACGAATGTCGATATGTCGAGCTTCCAAGGCGTCGACTGGGGTTCCATGTACGGCATGGGCATGTACGTTTAGACCCACCACGGAGGATCATGTTGCAGATCTCAGCCGAACGATCCGGCCAAACCGCGATCTAGCATCCTCGAAGCCAAATTCAATTCCTCCCCAATCGTCTTTCCCTCTTTTAGTCCCCTATCCCCATTTCTAACTTATTCTCCCTTTTAAGTTTTAAGCCACGTTTTTTGTACGTATCGTTTATTCCATAATCAGTGATGATGATGATAATGATGCTCGAGTTAGATTGTATTCCGTCACGACTATCGTTCAAAGTATTCATTGCTAGGCCGATCTAGCAAAATCGATTTCGGAATTTTCGCCTCTAGCGTCAGAGGCGAAAACTCTACTGTGACAATTACTTTCGACATTAGTTTTGCCATCCTTCGCTCTCTGAATCCGAACAATCGAAATTGTCAAACGTAGTGTCTCTTTGCGGTGAAAGGGAACTTACGCGTCAGAAACATTAGGCTCAAGTGTCTATGCGCAATGCACTAAGCCTGAGCCTAATGTTTCTGGCTCATAAGGACAGAAACATTATGCTCAGGCTTCTATGCGCAGTGCACGAAGATTCAGCTTAATGTTTCTGTCCTTACGCGACAGAAACATTAGCCTCAGGCCTTTATGCGCAGTGCACGAAGACTCAGCCTAATGTTTCTGTCGCGTAAAGTCAGAAACATTAAGCTGAGTCTTGTGCACTGCGCATAGAAGCCTGAACCTAATGTTTCTGTCCTTACGCAACAAAAACATTAGGCTCAGGCTTCGTGCTCTGCGCATAGACGCTTGAGCCTAATGTTTCTGTCGCGTAAAGTCCTTTTCACCGTAAAGCGTCACATATGGTTTCAAAAAGAACGCCACCTGGATTCTTTCGGAAAATTGCACTGCTGCCACTTGTTAGTCATCGAAAACTTACCGTCTATTGCAACAGGTGGCAGCACACGAATTCTTCCAGAGAACTTTAACGGAACAACTTCTGTAAGTTATATTAATTTTTCGGTTCAATTTTGTATATTTATACTACAGAAATTGTGACCCTTCTCTTCTGCTATCTAGAGAGTCCCATTTGCCATTAGGTCGAAAGTCGACTAGCCTTCTAGCGACTATAAACCTTATGACAAATGCCGCTCGGTTTTTTTCCCCCAGCATGACTTACCGAAGTTTTTCCTTTTCCGAACTTTTACTAATTTAGAGTTTATGGCACTAATTCCGCTTTTTCGGATTTAGAGAGTGAATTTTTATACAATTTCTCGGAATTTGACATTCTTGCCAGTAGAAAAATACTTTTCGCCAAGAAGACTAGAGACATGAGGTCGAACTAAAATAGTGGAGTGAAGAAAATTTTTTTTAGGTTGAAAACTTTCAACCACATTTAAAAAATTTTCTTTCATGTTTCAAGAAAATAAAGAAAAAAAAAGAAATAAACTTTACTTCTGAGAAGTTTATTAAGGAAAAAGCCGTTTGCAGTGAGTGCCTTTCGGCTCATTAAGTAGCATTACTGCTGTAAAAAATAAAAAAAGATTGAAATACGCCGTTACTCCACTACTGAAGTAAAATCTCCTATCTTCTAGTCTTCCTGGATTAGTCAAATCTGACGTAGGAAACAGAAAACTCTCTTTGGTGCTAGGGGCGATTTTTCCCAAGACATGCTCCATGAAAATCGACCTTAGCGACAGAAGTTTCTGTTTCGTACGACAGAAATCTTTACGTATCCTCGGAAAAAGAAAATCAAAGCTAAAGAGCTTACGTGAATTACATTTCCCTACGATCATCACTCGTGGAAAATTTTTCAACTCCTAGTTAGCGTTTTTCGCCATTTAATACTCAAATTATCTCCCTTCGTCTTCATTTATTTTTTTCCTTCTTCTCACCTCGTTATTTTTTCTTTTTTTTTAATTTCGTTTTTATTTTCAATATTTTGTTTTAATTTTTTTTTTTTGCACTTTGCTATGTTCCTGAAGTTAGCGTTAACGCTTAGCGTCGAAAACTATTATCTCGGATTTTTAGAGTTGAAATTGTCACTAATTTCACTTTGCGAATTCGAAGAAACAGTCAGGGCACTTTTGTGGACCCTAAAAAGTTTAAAACAATTGTTTCATTTTCTCGACTTCGCGGGAAAAAAATTTCGACACTTTCGACGCTAACTTCGGGGACTTATTTTGTTTTCATTGTTTCCACATTTCCATTCCCCTTGAGTCAAAAATAAATCGTTCCCTCGGCTAAAAATTCCTAAAAAAAAATCACCTTTTGGTTAAAAATTTGTTTTGACCATCATTGTGTCGCAGACTTTGATAAAAATTGTATACCCTCGGAAAAAAAATATTGTACCTTCATCTATAAGATTACATTGACCCTTCGCCTTCGGTTAAATTGTACCTTCGCCTCGAGTCTAGGTAGCGAAGAGGCCAGAGATTGATGTTGTATTTTTTTCAAGTAACGAAAGACAATATTCTCTTCTATTAAGTCTATTAAGTCTCTAAGAAATAAGGTCATCGATTAGAAATTGTGACTTGTGAATTGAGCCCTAATCAAAATCAAATCACTGATTTATCCCCACAAAAAAAGAGTTACCGAATAAATGATGAAAAATACTTGAAATGAAAAACACCATTCTCAAGCAATCGTTTGATTTGAGTGCCTAAAAAAAATTATTGAAGGGTTGAAAAATTTGATCAGAGCCTTTCTTATAAAATGAAAAAAAAGAGGGGGAAAAAAAAGAAAAACGAAAGTGAGTTGTGATCTTCCGCTATTGCGTGAACGAGTAAATTTTTATTCGTTGGAAGCAGAACTTCACGTGCCTGTCGATATATTTTTTTGTTTCTTTATCGAAGACCAAGCTGCTTTCCTCGCGCCTTGATTTGTCTTGATTGCGGGTGTAACGAGTGGACAATAAAACAATCATTTGATTTTGATTAGAGTTTTTTTAGAAACGACAAATAACAGTCAACAAAAAAAAAACTGTGTACATATCGTCTACCATTCGACTCTTGTTACTTAAGCTCCGAGAAGAAAAAAAAAATTTGAGTAAAAACTTAAATAGTTGGTAGTACTTAACAATGATACTCAAAAAAAAAGCATTCGAAGGGAGAAAAAAAATAATTGAGATTAGCTCAATAATTTAAGTCAGCGACTAAGTTTAGCTCCTAAGTCAAAGCGAATGTACTGACTAGGATTATTTTCACGATGCGAAAGACGATTCGTTCCAATTTTTTTTTTTTTTAATTTTTGCTCTAAATCGTCATTCGGTGATCGTGCTAAGTAATCATTTGAGAAAAACGATTTTTTTTTGTCGAGCAATAAGCGGATACTTAAAATTAATATTTAATCATAAACTATTTATAGTGATATTACTGGTTAAAAAAAAGCTCGAATAGAAGCTAAAGACTAGAAATAGACGAGGAAAGCGAGAGAAAGATAAGGAGACGGAGAGAATGTCAGCGCAGGACATTTCTTCCAAGTGATTTTTACGCTGTACTTAAGGATTTAAAAAAAAATCGTTGGTATTCTTTTACGGATTACGCTTTAGGCGCAAAACAAGCAAAAAAAAATTTGTCTTGCGTAAGTTAATATATCGAAAATCTGTGATCAACTTCTCTCGTTCTCCCGATTTTCGCTTCTTGTCTTTCTCTTTCTCTATCGCCCCTCTCACTCTCAATGCGAAAAAAACAAATTTACCATAAAAAAAAGAATTGTTAATTTAAGTAAAAAAAAAAAAAAAAAAAAAACTGTGCACGCCGGCTGTTGTAATTTTTCTATATTATTAAAAGTGAGGAGAAGAGAGAGAGGGGTTTTTTAGGAGAGAAATATGAAGGAGCGTGCGTTACATTAAGAAATTTTTTGCGCGAGTTGACGCATACAAATTAATTCGCATAGGTATGTCGTAGAGCGCTTGTGTTTTAAAAGTATGAGTGTGTTGGCAAAAAAAAAAAAAAAAAAAAATTTGTGCGTCTGTGGATAAAAAAGAAAACGAGATCAAAGGGTATTTAAACGTTGGTCGTGTGCTCTGTCATTAAAAGAAAGCCAGAGTCGAGACTCTCGAAGTGTTTCGGGTCGAATACGTCAGTAAGAATTCTTTTTTTTTCCAAAAAGCCAAGCAGGGCTCTTGTTTTTTCGAATGGGGAAAATATTTCACTTCAAATCGAAAAATAAGAAAACTTTTTATTCGAAAATGTTTCTTTGCAGTATTTTTAAAGACTTAAATTAAGGTAAATTCAGAGTGATCTTTAGTAATTTATAGTAGTTTAGTAATTTTTAAAAAAGAAGGAAAGAAAAAAAAAAAGAAAAGAATGAAAGAGAAAAGAAAAAAGTAGGAAAGAATGAAAAAAAAGAATAAAAAATTATAAAGGAAATGATTGTTAAAAAAAATTGGAAAAAATGACTGACGTAGAGACAAACACGATCGAGGAGTCGGGGGAGAAAATCTCTTTCAAGTCCGCGTAGGGAGGAGAGCCAATGTGGTAGGTCTTGTCCTTTCTCGATTTCGAGAAACGCAGCCATTCACGAACGACTTCCGTATCGCGGACTGATTCGCAGACACGTCGTTTCTCGATTTTGTTTCTTTAAATCGCCATCGTTTTGATTCTTGGTCATTATTTGGTCAATTTTTCAAAAAAAAAAAAAAAAAAGAAAACAAAAAATTGTTTAATAGTATTGTGTAGTTTAGTTTGTTCTTTTTTTTCTTTGACATTAACCACTCATTAGTTTAGTGCGTTTAAGAAGAAGCATGCTGGTTGGCAATTTCATTATTTATTTTCTTTAATCATTTTAATGGACACTAGTGGTCACTGCTACCATTTTTCTTCTACCCACCACTTCTCTATACTTTCTATACTCTCTTCTCTAGAGGGATATTTTCACCGGGCGAAATAAATTCTATACATTATAAGCAAGAATATATGCATGATTTTTTTACCTCTTTGGTTGTATTTAAAATTAACAAAACAAGATTAATTTTTTATTCTTGCTATTTCGTCAAGAGAGAAACAAAAAAAGTTTTACCCGGTGAAAGTCTCTTTTTTTTGTATAAAAATTCTACTTTCTCTTTTCTTTTTTACGACGTTAGTGTGCGAGTGTTTTCTGCACATTTGTGCTTCCTGGTATTATTATTGTTTTAAGTTCTCTAATTAAAAGTTTACGATTAATTGTCTATTAATTGAATCTGTA